AGCAAAAATGTCACTCAACTTTCTGTTGACACTGAAACGTTGCTCAAACGCTTACAAGAGAAGGCATCCGACTTTGACGTTCGTCTATACCAATTTGCGTCTGATTTGACATTTTTGAATTAAAAAGGACTGCACGATTCTCATTGGCTGATTACTGTGAGGCTGACCCTGAGGTCCCACCCCTTTTGGAGTCGAGAGGAGCTGCATTAAATCCAACGATCGGAGGCGATTAGAGCTGATCAACCATCAGTGGCATTGTTACTTTCCTCAGTCCTTCCTCCTACATAAAAGTATTCCCTTCGTTTCATCCCGCCTCTCCGTCCCTTCTGTTGGTAGAGAATCCCTTCTTAATGCCCTGGCTGTGCCTCCTTTTGAGAATTAAGCACTGATCTTTTGCTCCTCAGTTATAGTTACCTGCTTATTCACTCACACTCGTTGCCCTCCATTTAAAAGTAGCTCGACAAGTCCCACCACGAAGAAATCGTTTACGACTAAAGTGAAAAAATTCAGCGTTATGCATAGCTTTCCGACCTCTCAGGCGTCTAAAGAGGTTCGTGGGGTCGCTGGTGGAATTTCCCTTAATAATAATCACTTACTAGAAGACAGTTTAGAGATTTTGATTTGTAAAACCACCAATTTCAGGGAATGTAACGCCACCTTCTCCAATTGCGGATTCTGCTTTGTTTGTCAACTGTATCACAAGGCGAAAAAATCTTCTGTCACTCACCGCCCAGCGTGGACAGGAGATTGCGTGCGTGATAGCATGCGTGCCGAGGGAAGAGACCAACTTCCATCGGCCGATGTGGCTATAAACCTCGTCTTCATCGAGGTGTCTGTGAGGACATTAGCAAGTACTGACGCGACAGTCGTAAAGAGCCTCGGACGTCCAACTGTCTCGGAGTCAGGCATAAGGAGGTTAAACTGACTCATTGGAGGAGGTTGTCGCTTGAGTGCTTCAGCCTTCTACGACGACCTAAAGGTCGCAAAAAAAGTATTCCTCAACACCTGCAAACGTTATTAGCAAGACAGGAGACAACTCCTTTCCTCCCAAATCTCTGCACATTGCCCACTACACCCAGTAACAATTTATCAGTGTTGTCGAGTTATTTTCTTAAAAATATGAGAAATTGGTTGGGCAAGGA